ATCGCAACAACCGGGTCACATGAACTGACATTGAATCACTTGGATTGGTTCATTTACTTTGTGCATTAAGGCCAGAGCTGAAAAGTTAAATAACCAGTTTTTTAAATTCTATTTGTTGCCTGCAACTCTATTTGTTTTATTGCGGTAAACTCCACCCGTCTGACACGCCCAGTAGATCAAAACAAATACCACTGATGAATCGCAAACACCGTTTTGACTACCAGAACTGTGTGTGTGTGTGTGTGTGTTCATCATTGTGCCTTCAGCTCTTTTGTTTCACGTTTTATTCACCGTTCATTAAAGTGTCTGTTTCATTACACTTCATCTGCATTCCCCCTCAGTGAAGAGGTACTGTAGACACACACACACACACACACACACACACACACAGGACACGATGAAGTGACTGAGATCTCTTGCAGAACTTCAGTGCTCCGATGTAAACTCTCTCAGCTCTGCTCCCATCACTTCACATTCATTATCCAGCCAAAGATGAAAATACTTCCAAAGAAACCATGACAACAACTCCACAGAGCTTGCTTCCAAAAAATAGAGAGAGAAAGAGAGAGAGAGAGAGAGAGAGAAATCTCTCGTCTCCCCTCTCGCTCAGTTTTGCATAATTTGTTTTTCGGGAGGATTAGTGTGAAAGGAGGAGGATGAGGGGGGGTGGGGGTGTGCCATCGTAACTGTGATCATTTTGTACAATGGCTCCTCACCCAAGAGCAATGAAATGCACACTTCAAAGAGAGAGGAGCTGGAGTCAGGAGGGAGGTGGAGAGTTTAGGATGGAGGAGAAAAGGAGGCATGTGGGGGGGGTGTAGCGGTTCAGATTGGAATGATCAGTCTGGTTCGAGCATCAAACACAACTGGATTTCTGACACAAACAAAATAAGACGACGAGATGTTTCCTACAGCGCAGTTCTTGTTGAAGTCATTTTTAATTTTATTTATTAAATATCCGCTTTGTTCGGTTCCTCACTCGCTGATGCCCTTCTGTTTGCCGACACGTTGGCGTACGACCAAGCCGAGAGCTTCCCTCAGATCAAAACCAGAGTAATCCTGACTCACAATGAAGCATCAGCTCTGTCTGTCTCACTCTGTCTCACTGTCTCTGTCTCTCTCTACTGACCCTGCTGGTCACGAGACAGAATGCAGCTTTAAGGGGCTTTAGTATTGGCTTCACTTTTCAAATCCAGGTCTGGGAATCTGATCTGAACTTTAAAAAAAACAAGGATCAGTGCAGCTCTATTTAACATAACAATACCCAGGGTTTCACACACAGTATAACCCTCATTAAGCCTCTACTGTGCTGCTGCCTTTAATTCATTTACATTAACTAGTAACCTAATAACCCTCTTCATTATACGCTCCTGTATCATCCACACGGCGACGCTGCTCGTGTTCGTTAGGCTGCATGTGTCACACAGCGCGGTGCTATCAGAGCATCACAGAGTCAACACGGTTTTATAGTTATAATTCTGTGTTGCAGATGTTTCTGTGACATTTTAAATTCTCTTCAGACGTGGATTATTAGGGTTAAAACAAAGGGACCAGGTGCAGCGTTGTGTTTGGGACTGTGAATGCAGGCGTTATTAAGGGAAATCTCAAGATCAATTTGTGTCATTTTCATGTTTTAACCACAAGGTTTGAGGTGCAGGTTCTTCTACGGGTCACAAGAATTCAGAAGGTCTCGTAACCTTCATGAAACTGTTTTAAAAACCACACATGGGATCGTCTCTTGAGCTCAGGGTTCAATCTTAAAACCATCTTCATTCTCATCTCAGTAGAAAAGTACCATACAGCACCAGCTAGCTGTGCATCAGAGGGAATACAACTCTGTCCCTGGTGCAGAGTATCCTCTAATTATCACATCGTCTCAAAGAATCAGTGGTTGTCATTTAGCCGTCAGTTAGTTACAGTAGAAGGCGGATTAGCGGTGATTATGCGGGTCCCTCCTATGGAGCGGGGGAGGGGGAGGGATGCTAACTCTTCCCTCACAGCACACAGACTTTGCACAGTGGGAGACGTGTTTGTGTGTTTGCACTTAAGTCTATATGGCCGAGCAGACGGAGCAGTAATAGCATTAGCTGCTGCTGTCCACACGGCCTGCAGGAATGATAAATACCGTCTCTCTCTTCATCCATCTGTCTCACACACACACACACACACACACAGTCCTGCATGTAAAGCAATGCACATCAGAAATGCTTCTACTTAATTATAAATCACAAACTGCATTAGATATTGTATGGCACAAAGTGAATGGCTTAAGACCAGATAGTCTATCAGCATGCCCCTCCCCCACCCTGCACCTGCTTTGGATGAAGTCTGATCAGGTTACATGTGTTAGTGTGTGAGTACTCACAACATGAAGAGGAGGGAGAGGTTAACGAGCAGCTTTTGATGCTTTCCCAGACGAGCACATTAGTTGTGTCGGGGCATAAACTATCTGCACTGGCTGTAAGAAGCGTCCTTGTATTTAGGGATGTTATCCTGGAATAACAAGATCAGCGATTGGAAGTCTTCAGTGTTACTTAACTACATTTTGAACAACAGATTTCACCCCCAGCGGCGGCTGCAGGACTGCGTCATGTGTGCAATTTTGACTTCCTGGAGTCTTATCGCTAACGGCCTCTGATTGGTCGATTCGTGCGACTGCAACCTTTCTCTGCAGTGCCCTTAAAACAGTCTCCATCTTGTCATGAATCTATTTTTCCAGCGCTAATAAGTGAAGGTGTCAGACAGTACAATCCTCTGGAGGCCTACTTTTAGATTTAAAGTTTCCCTGTTCCCCTTCTCTCCGTCTCTTTCATACTATTTTCAGAGTGGCGCCAAGTGCGAGTGTTTCTCTCCTTCTCTTGGTGTCTCCTTGTCACTAGTGTGTGTGTGTGCGTGTGTGTGTGTGGATCTACATCATTTCATTCATGTACCACTACATCATAAACCCAGACTTCATGGACCTCAACGTCTAGCATTCCCTTGTCTCACACCGTTATCTTGCACACATTCACACACACTCTCACACACATAAATGGGGGGATACCCGCTCTGTGTCGAGCACCGGGGGGGGGTCAGAGGAAGAGATCTTCCCCCTCACTGGTTTATTAATGAAACCAGGCGGAGAGAAGATCTAGAGCGAGAATATACTGGGAAAAAGGTCAGGAAGATGGGCCAAATAAGAGATGAAGAGCAGCTATTGAGGATGATGAGGGTAATGTATTATTAAACAGTGGTGGTGTTAGATTATTTACTACAGCTGGAGGAGGGGAGGGAGATGTTCTCACACTCTCAGGGAACTCTTTTTAAGGCGAGTCTGTGAGATCTGAGGTGTAATTGGACGTCAGAAGCTGTTAGACGAAGAGCTGGAGAGAGACGGAGACGTAAAGAGGACAAACGAGTCACCTTTTATTAAAGTTGGCATGTGTGTAAGGAGCACGTGCACACACACCCGCGCACATTTTGTAAGTATGTAGGTTCACATCGTTTTGGCAATGAATCCCTGTGTTGTTGTTTATTTCCTTTTGTCTTCGTCCCTCCGAATCCTGGAAATGTTAATTGTGCCAAACAATATATCAGAAGCGTGGGAGCGAGTTTCCAGAGCGCTGACCTGTAACACACACACACACACACACACCTCCCACGAGCACATATGTACACTCTTTTCACGTGAACGCACACCGAGAAGTCGCACGTACTTTAATTTCTGAGGCACACACACACACAGAACCATGGCCCAAAAATAACAAGCGTGTCCCACATAAGAGGCTTCACTCCGAGATCTGACGTCTCTCTCTCTGTCTCTCTCTGTGTGTGTGTGTGTGTGTGTGTGTGTGTGTGTGTGTGTGTGTGTGT